GAAAGAGACCTTCTAAAAACGTTAAAATGTATAACTGGCACGCGAAACCTTAAATTAGAGTGAATAAATGAAGACTCGGCACACCACTTCTGAAAGGTTGCCGACCCCTGGTCTATATTCAACAAGGGAGATTTTGTGCAAACGTAGGGCAGCTGCCCAAACACAACACACCTCCTGCCAGGGACAAGGTGGTGGGGGGAAAAACAAAACAAAACAAAAAAACTACAGGGGGGGAAGAGGGAGCTAAAAAATAAAAGTGAGGTTTTGGCATTATTTCCATAGTAGTAGTGGAAGCACTAGATAATATCATCCTCACGATTGCAATCTCTAATACCAGCATTTCACATCATGTAACAGCCAGAACAGCATAAATCTAGATGTTCTGATACATGAAGTCATGAGAATCAGCTGCTTTTCTAAAAGTACTGTTTTACAGCTAAATAATATATGCAGGGTGGTTATTGACTTCTCTATTTGATGTTTCCTGCAAAGAAACTTCTGTTGAAATGCCCTGAATTGAGACATTTCCCTTTTTAAAAAGGGGGACAATTCTTATTTGCAAACAAGGGTCAGAAGAGCTAACTTCTCTTCCTCCCCCACCTACCCCCTCCCCAACCTTTGGGCACTGTGCAAATAGTAATCTCCTCTCAAACTGTTTCAAGACCACCTAATGGGCATGTAGAGCCCTGCCTAAAATATAACAGGAGGGGTGAAGTTATCTGCCTATTCTATCCTCTTTCTGTAACATGAAATAGCTACGGGTATAAAATCAGTTATCGAGGGGAAATTGTTTTTATTTTTATTTTTTTTAAGACAGGTAAAAGGAATTTTCTCAAAGTGGTCTATCTAACTTAAAGAAGTGTTTTAAATTCATTGACATCAGTAGACATTCCTAGAAATAGTAAGAAAAGCTAAAATGAGAAATTTATTATGGGGTATAAATAAGATCTATTTTAGTCTTAAAAGTTTAACAATGTTCTCTCTTGTTTCATTTACTTATTTACAAGTGGCTATTTGTGTGTGCTCATTATGGGACTGATACTGCCACATTTAAGTTGAGTAGGTACTCATTGCATTGAGCTAGGCTATGTTATAAACACACACACACACACACACAAACAGATTTTCAGCTTCCTATTTTAAATTTACAGCTCATTGTGACATACCTACTATAGTGTGCTTCGTGAAAAAGTGATAATTCTCATGATAGGAAACATCTGAATATGTGAACTTGCCATATGAATTGCGCTTAGATTACTAATGCTTTCGCTTTCCTGTATTTTCCATTTTTTCCCTTATGTTAACATCTTCTCCCTCAGCATTTTTTTCTGAATTTTAAAGGAAGAAATCATGGAGGGGAGGCACTGGTAGATGGGGTATATTTTGGGGGAGTCAGGAGAGAGAGAAACAGAACAATGGAGGAAAGAGGGAGTGTCAGAATATCAGAAGAGGAATAAAGGTAGCAGCTGGGTGTCTGTCTGGCATTTGGCTAGCTCATGAAGCTGTGTCAGGTTACCAAGGAAAGGAGCTGCAGCTGTGTGCTGGCTGGCACAGTGAGGAGCTGTCTGACGGATGGTGATGACAATATGGGGATGAAGAGATGTGCCTGGGCAGGAGGAGGAGACAGAGAGGCAGACAGAGGAAAGTACTGCAGATCCAGCTGGCCCACTCTAGAGAAAGGGTTGCAAAGTTCAGGGAGGTGCTGCAACACATTGATTGTTCAGCTGTCCCAAAGCACCACTAACGGGCACATCCAAGTTAATGGGTTAGTCAACCTGGATGCTTAAAAATTATTTCCACCACACACGTCTTTAAGCATGGATCATGAAAGAACGCCATCCATACAACTCCCACTCACTTCAATGGGGCTCCTTACACACTGGGCTTGTAAGATCCTGCTTTCCATAGCTAAAGGATGAAAACATGGCTACTGGTCATTAAAACACCAGCCCCTGATATAAATGTAATATTATTCAACTGGTAACAGAGTGACAGTTGCCACATTTTAATGATATTTGTTTATATGTACCTGTTTCTCTGGTATGGAAGTTGGTACAGGGGTTGATGGAGGGACGGCTGGTGGAGGTGGTTCCTCTATGGGACCTCTTGCAATGACCAGCTTCACTCGATTTCCACACTGTCTCAGAACTTGTGCCACTTGTTCACTGCTCATTCCAGCCAGGTCTGTATCGCCAATTTTCAGGATGTGGTCTCCACTGCATAACCTTCCATGCTGGATAAGGAAGTAGCCAGCCAACCAGTCACAATTATCATAAAAAACACTAGCAGCCATTTCCCCTTTCCCCCCACACAAACGATCATACTGGTCAATTTAAAATGCGTGCTCTGCAACTAGTTTTTAAATGTCATGCCATACATTCATAGTGGGGCAGAGGAAAAAGAATATGCCCTTGTGTGATACAAGTGCCGCTATATGTGTACAGGAAAATAGTTTTAGAAGTGGAGACCAACTTCTGCGTACAAAACTGTGTAGAATTATGTAAACGGCTTACACATTTAGCAATTTTATACAAAGATGGGAATTTTGTCTTCAAAATCCCCTTGTACACCCATTAATGCCTGATTTGCACCTGTAATTTCAGTAATTTTCTGTGCTGTCATTTGTGCACACACAAACATGCATTTGTGTGTGTACAGACCTTGGGCCTCTTATTTAAGAGCTGGCCCTCAGGATTAACCATGTTTTTTAAAATAAATTATATTTCTCAGTTACTGTGATATCACAGTTATTTATATTGTTTTAAAAACATTCTTCATTTATTTCTTGTTTCTTTTATTTTACACTGTAAAAATGTTTCAAGTGAATTTAGTACCCACGAAAGGTATTAAAACTGACAGACTGGGGGGAGTGAATTCATCTGTCGGCCCACAGAACACATGCAGCATGGACATCAGCAGCACGAGCTACCTACAGACAGAGCAGTGTTTAGTATGTATATACTACAACTGCGATTGTGATTGCAGCAAGTCTATACATACCCAGGCTAGCTTTAATCTAGCTGGCATAAGAGAACCAATAGCAGTGAAGCCACAGCACCATGGGCAAGCCGATGCTGAAGTCCACGTTGCCGTGGTTTCACTGCTATTGGTAATTGCACTAGGCAGGTCTACATATGCTGCAATCACACCTCCGATTGCAGTGTAGACATTCCCTTAGTGCCTCAATCCTGACCTACAGAGACTACAGGTCAGAGGAACAACCTGTCTCCGAGCCCATTCAATCCTTGAGCTCTTTGCCATGACTGCTGAAAAAGGTGCCCTTGGTGGTGGTTTTGTGGGAAATGGAGCGAGATCACCAAACTCATCTCACACAGGTCACTATGATGGTAATAACCTTTGGTCATTTCCAATTTGGGTTGGATTAGCTGTACAGGTGAAAGACTATCGTGATATTTATTTCAGAGTTAGAAATGATATACTTAGCAGCACACAATAGGAGTGGTGCAAAGTAATAGATTTAGGAGAGTGACTGAAGGCCAGATTTCACTTTTGGGTTTGTATGTGCAGATCCCACATTCTATACATGATCATTAATAAGGGTAATTTGCCCATATACATTACTAGCATCATCTTTTTCTTTCAGCCTACAAGGAAGAAAACTGTCACTTAACATTATTATGGCAGATTTACATGATAAATTTACCACACTCTAAACAGTAAAGAAGAAATTGTTAGGGGGGAGTTTACCTGATCAGCTACTCCTCCTGGGAGGATGGTTTTAACTATAACTCCAGTTGACTTTCCTCCCACTATCCCAAATCCCAAACCTGATCCATCATTCACCAACTCAATGGTCTCCACATGCTGCCAATGGACCTACAAGGAGTAAACTTGTAAATAAGCTTGCAAATGACTGAAGTAAGAATACACCTATTAAATCTTGTCACAAGACACTTATACAGTATTTCTATGGCATATTTTTGAAAAGAGGGGAGAAAGAAAACCTAAAGGCAGCTCTATATCAGTTACTATTAGCCCACTGGAAAGGAAGGTGGGCATTTAACAAGTAGAATTTCTCCACTATGTAGCCTCTCCATGAATCTGTTTACAGATCAAAGTCTTAGGGATACTGGGAGGTGGTGAGTGCCTTCAATTCCCAACGCAGTCAAAAGGAATAAAATGTGCTTAATATCTTATGGGAAGCATTTAGCATCTCACTGGATTGGGACTCAAAGTCTCCTATAATGTAGATGAGTCACTCTCACCAGAAGTCACATACATGCACTGAAAAGGGGCTATGGATCCAATTCTCAGCTACAACTGAGGGGGAGACTGCAAGAGGGCCAGTTCTACTCCATCCCCAGCATAGATGAGACCAGCCTGGCAGCTGCTGTAAATGACACACACTGGCTATGACTCCGTAGGGGACCATTCACCCAATAGAAATAGCTGAAGCACAGCTCACTCTAGCCAAACTCCGACCCCAACGGGCCCCTACACCAGGAGGCTGCATGACTGGCTATGCCAACTCTATTCTCCCCGAGGAGTCCTCCATGCCAGAGATTACCTCAACAAGGAACATTCAAAAAGCTTTCTATTCCCTTTACACCATGAAAATAGCACGGGTTAGAAAATCTGTATCTATTCAAAGAAATTGGGACATGAAGAGTACTATTCGTTTAAGTGGTGTAAATCATTATGATTACATCACACAGCATCAGGCATTTTCAGCCCACTGAAAAGGACGAAAGCCTCTTCACTGTAGATCCAAATAATCAGCTATCATTCATTTCACATTCCACTTCAAGTCAACAGCTTTATGCACATGCAGAACTGTCCCTTAACTGGTAAGCAGAAGTTCCCAGGCTACAACCGGTAGACTGAGGTTGATATGATGAGAATGGAATATTTGTCGCCTGATGGTTTTCTTTCTGGGCTTGACGTTGTGATGGAAGTGGGAGCTGTTCTGTAATGATTTATGGATATTCTATGCCAGTGGTTTTCAAACTTTTTTTCTGGTGACCAGTTGAAGAAAATTGTTGATGCCCGCAACCCAACAGAGCTGGGGATGAGGGGTTTGGGGTGTGGGAGGGGCTCAGGGCTGGGGCAGAGGTTTGGGGTGTAGGGGATGAGGGCTGCAGGGTGGGGCTGGGGAATGAGGGGTTCAGAGTGTAGGAGGGTTGGGGTAGGGGGTTGGGGTGCAGGAGGGAGTCAGGGCTCTGGGCTGGGAGTGCAGGCTCTTGGGTGGGGCTGGGGATGAGGAGTTTGGGGTGCAGGAGGGGGCTCCGGATTTGGGGGGGGCTCATGCCTGTGGCAGGGGATTGGGGTGCTGGAAGGGTCAGAGCTCTGGGCTGGGGTTCAGGCTTTGGGGGGGGCCAGGGATGAGGGGTTTGGGGGTGCAGGAAGGGGCTCAGGGCTGGGGATTGGGGCACAGGCTTACCTCAGGTGGCTCCCAGTCAGCGGCACAGCTGGGGTGCAGAGGCAACTTCCTAACCCCTTGCCCCCTCCGCCTAGGAGCCAGACCTGTTGCTGGCCACTTCCAGGGCACAGCGTGGGGTCAGAACAGGTAGGGACTAGCCTGCCTTAGCCAGGAAGCACCACTGACGGGACTTTTAACGGCCCGGTCGGTGGTGCTGACCAGAGCGGACACGACCCAGTCCTTTCGTGGGTCACGGAATAGGTTTGAAAACCACTGCTCTATGCTGTATGTTGACCTGATTATTGGGGTGTTCACTATGTGAATACAATGGTTTCATTTAATAGTCCTCTGTAAGGAAAAACAAGCAGGCTCAAGATAACAACCTTAAAGCATTTGCTTTAAGAAGTGGCTTAAGAGACAACACCAGAACAGGAAAAGGTCCATCCACGCACAGAAGAGATCAACAGACCTGTGGCAAGTTTCAAAACGAACACGCTTTCAAGAGAGGGCTGAATTTGGGGAAACCAGATTGAGAGACAGGTACCTGCTGAGCACATCTGAAAAAGTTAAGCCTTCTGGGGGTACAATTGAGGGACAGTAAGCCTTGGGTAAGACAGACATGCATGCAGATTTTTTTTTAAACACTCTCTTGATGCTTTGTTCCTATTGTCAAAATAAACAATAGTTGGTTTTAAGAAGGCTCTCTGGTCACGACATACACCACTGGTCACACACTGCCGAAAGGAAGAGTTCATATTCAGTTGGAACTGCAGGGTAAGAGCTGTTGTTACACAAGGTACTGTAGCCCAGTCAAAGAGTTGTAGAATTGTGTATTTCCTCCCTGGTATAGACCTGACACCTGAGAGGGTGCACTCAGAAAGACCAGAAAAGGAGACAGAGGTGCAGCTATAGTCCTGTAATCATGATAGATGTCTCCCCCAATCTGAGACATTTGGACTGTGCCTCCCTTCCCACACCTTGGCCTTCTGCATGCTCTATTTGGCGTTCTCTGCCATAAGAGAATGAGAGCAAAAACAGGGAGAATGAGCTTGGCTGCTAGTACAGATCAGATTGCAAAGCCCCACAAGTTTCTGTTCCCTAAAAGGAGAGGAGTAGATCACAGGAGGAGATTCCATTTGCTGCTGCTTCCCAAAAAGCTTTAAAAGCTGGGATTGCAATAGATAAAGCAGAAGTGCTCTGTTTGCCTCTTTGAAGACAGAGAATTTAACACATGGGAAGAAAGGGCATGACCAAGCCCCAAAGCCCCCTAGACAATCCTGAAATGTTTCCAGTATTTACAGGAGGAAAGGTACAGCCCAACTGGCTTATTTTGGGAGAAAGAGGTCAGGAGCGGGGGGAGGAGGGGGGGGATACACGGGTTACATAGTACTGGATATTGTAAGCCTATATGCACCTGAAATTGAAAACATAGACACTGCCCTTACATTTGGGAGGTACTCACCGGATTGGAATGGGCAGAGACTGTGCTAGCAGCAGATGGAGATCGAGAAACTACAGGACTGATCAGCTGAGGCAAGGAACCCCTTGCCACAACTAGTTGGACATTATCTTTTGCCTTCTGCAGGATGCTGATAGCCTGTTGATGTGTAATTGTTTGATCAAGGGCTTGTCCATTAATAGCAAGGATTTGATCTGCTTCCTTCAGCCTTCCATCTCTGTCACAAATGTATAAACAAAACAAAAAACCCCACAAGAAAAAAAAATGTTGCTACAGACATAGTATTTTGACAATTTTCCAGTATTTTTTATCCTGTTTTCTATTTTCCCCACTTCTTAATCTTTCCCTGCAGTTTTGCTACAAGGTGCTATTGTGGCACTCGGGAGATCAGCTCCCTTTGAAGCTAATCCCACTGCCACTCTCTCCTGGCTGCTACCCCCTAGCTAGCGCCCTTCTCCCTGCACCCCCATCCGAGACTAAGCATATTAGATTGAGTTGCTCCCAACCATAGCCTGGGAACTTATGTTTATTCTTGACGTTGAGCTTGCTTAACAGACCAAGTGCTCTACTTTGTTCAGTGTGCAAGTTCTGAATATTCATCAAACCATGTAGTGGAACATACTTTCATCAAGATCCCAGGAAAAACCAATTTTCTTTTCAGCGAGAGGGAGAGAATGTATGATAAAACAGATCCCTTTTAAATGAAACACCTACATAAATTATAAAATAAATCATTTTGTGGCAAAGGAAGTACTGATGTACAGTCACACATTGAGCCCTTTCCCAGACCTACTTCAAAAGAATGTGTATGAAATCTACAGATGAGTTACTCTTAAGCTTTATTGCTTCAGAAAGATTCAAACAAGCAAAGGCTCTTTTTCAAAATATATACATGACAATGCTCTGTGAAAATCAAAGTCGAAAATTGGTTTCTCCAGATCACATACTTCTTTGGTTGCCTGGCCTGGAAAAGGGGCCAAGGTACTTAGAAGTGACCAAGAAGAAATGTCCTCTAGCCCCAATCCAGAATATTTAGCTGGGAACTGAAATCCTCTAAGATTTATTGCTTCAGGGACTCTCTAATTTACAGTTGAACAGTTCTGTACCCCACTAAAGTGACCTCTAGAACTGACACAGTACTTGTTTTTGCTTCACAAAATCAATAAGGAGTTGATTCAATAAAAACATGTTTCAGCTTATCCATTTGAATAGGGCAACGCAGACCACTTGCATGGAAAAGTAATTTGAAGGTGGGCCTTAAACAGTCTAGAAAAGATTGCTGCGATTAACAGCAAACCATATGTTGCAGAATTTAACTCTAGGGCCCATACACTGCACTCACTTGAATGGCTGCGTTGAGACCAAAAGCAGTTTAAATAATACTAATCTGTTGCCCAGAGAGGTGAGCAGGGAGATCCCATGCAGGGAACTGCTACATATAACAGAGGATATCCACAGGGACTTCCCATGGCCACCGAGACGGAAACTTAGGCAGGGGCACAGCCAGTGGGTTCATGCACAGTGCAAATCCACTAGGTAACAAACAATCAGGGGCTGGAGGGGGAAAGCACAGTGGACCAATTCTCCTACACCTCCTAATAGTCTCTAGGACTAGGGGCTTTCCTATTTAGCTCCTAAACCCAAAAGTTCTTTGTTCAAGGCTGGCTTGTGGGATCAAGATTAAGGTGTAAAGGATATTTTCACAAACAATCATTATTGGTGAGTTCCCGGTAACATTTTCTGGCTATACTTGTTTAATTCCATTTTTTTTTAAGTGTAAGCATATTAGGTTAAGCACTGTTTGTAAAGGCATTCTGATCCCCTTACTGTTGCTCTACAGTACTCTGCAAACAGCACTGGTAACTCCACTGGGGATACTCCTACAGTACATTACTATTTAAAGTAAGCGTATCAGAATCTTGGCCAAAACAATTGGCTCAAACATACATCTTTGAAACTATTTTTTAAGAACTGAGGGGACTATTCTATCTTCAAAAGTATACAGTATTCCCCAGTAACATAAACAGGAGTTGTACCAGGGTACTGAGATCAGAATCAACTCTTTCATCTGGTAGAATAAATTTTAAAAATACTACATCAGTGATTATATATCGATCTAATCCAATGCAATAATATGATACTAGGATTATATTTTATGATTGAAACTTTATTAATGTAAAACTTAATTCTCAACTGAAAAGCAGACTTTAAATGTCTTGGGCCTAAGAGTAAGAGAGAATGTGTGGTGGTACCGTGAATAATGACAAGCACAAACAAGGACACCAATGACTAAGTTACATTATGATGTCATTATTCAGTACCAATGATCTCACCTATATGCCACGCTTCCTTCTTGGATCTCCTGCACAAATATCCCCAGTTCCCCTCTGTTTTCACTCTTCAATCCCACAACACTAAAGCCCAGCCCACCACTTGGAGGTTTAACCAGCTCTAAGGTCTCGACGAGGCGACCCTGTTCAAGCAAAATAAACAAAAAGGTACAAATGTTAAATACACTTAAAAGCAGCATTAATGAAACATTTTAACAAACTCTTACAACCGGAGTAGACTTCGCTCAAATCAATAAATGAATAAATTATTAGAACATACAGCAAAACCATGGAATGCTGCATCCAGTTCTGGTATCTCTGGGCCATATAGAGCAACAAAGTTGTTATAGCCTGGAGGAAAAGGCTGAAAAGAGCTAGATGCATATAGGTTGGCTGAGTGGTGACTAAAGGGAAACCTTAAATGTCTATACATATTTGAAGGAAGAAAAGTAATTATGGAGTATAACTAGGTATAATGGAATGAAATTCAGAAAGAGAACATTTAGGCTATCGGGAGAAACTTCCTGACAGTATTGTCTATTAGACTGGGAAAGAATCTCTCAAGGGAAGTGATGGAAAACGTCTCCCCTGAGTCTCTTCAAAGTAAACTGGAAATGCACTGAAAGAACTTCTTGGCCAAATTTTAACCTAACATCCCTTTGTACAACCTGATTGAAGTCAATGGAGTTGTAAGTCAAGGCAAACTTTGGCCCACTATAATGGCAGAGAGGTGGACTAGATGGCTTAATAGGTCTTTTTCATGTCTAATTCCTGACTTTATTATATACTGTATTAATCTTGTAACAACCCATAACAGCAAAATTCCACTATGAGAGCCACACAACTGATACAGACTCTGATAATCCACACTCTTTCATATATGGAATGGCAGTTCTTCACATATGGTGAGAGAGGAATACCAAAATGCAGATTTGCTGTGAAGAATATTGCTCCATTAAGAGAAGTGTAGTTAATAATGCAGTAAATAATAAATAGCACAGTATCAATGGTATTTTGTTGAGAATATTTCCATGTTTATTCTAAAACTCCAAGTGCTTCTCAAATAAAAAGGCTAGAAATATTTTGTTTCACACAGCGAAACAGTTTAAATGGAGAGGAGGTGTTTGCTTTTAAATACTGTACTGTAATTCATTTCTCTTTAAGCAGAAGGATAACAATAAAAATATTTTGAATTCATTCAACAATTGCAATGATCAACTATTTGTGGTTACCATAAGTCATAAAATATGTCAATGGAAAATTTAACTATTTGCAGGCATGTTGTCTTACCTGTGACATAGTTCTGATTAGTTGCTCCAACTCATCACTGGAGCTGGAGGATTTCCCATTAATCTGAGGAGTAACAGATCTCACAGATGCTTCTAGCACATTAGCAGGGCTGCCATTCTGCTGAGCCAATAAATAGGATTCGTTATGTGGCAAGGAACCCACACTAGCACCATGATGGGGAAGCTGTGGGAACTCGCCAGCCGAATGTATGGATGGTGCAACATTTACCTGAAGATGATTCACAACATTAGTCTTAGAGTGTCTTAGTCTTCATAGTCTTACAGTGTGGCAAAACAATCATTACTGATAAACCACATCATGATTAACAGATCTTCTTGCCATGACAAAAAGAACACAAAAATTATCTTAGATTTTTTTTTAAATGACACTTTTTCCTCATACACACAATATGTTAATTGATATCAAGTTGTGAACCATAAAAATATATGAGTAAATAGTCATGGGAACAGTTTGCAAGCAACATCTGTACCCTATATAAAATGTATTTGTCCCTTTTAGCATAAGCAGCCAGAACAGTTCTAAGCACTGTGGTAATTCAGGACAAATTTGAACAGAGCTGTCGTCGCCATACCAGAGAGTCTTTTAAAACCAACTTAACCCTTTTAAAAAAAATCTGGATTTATCTTGGGGAGAGAAACCTCACTGATGACGACAGAATTAGAGGTCTCACTGAGAGTTCATGGTTCAGGTCTTTTGTGTCACCATATGGTAAGACTGTCACTCTCTATTAACCTCTCCATCAGCTCAAGGATTTAATTTAAAATTAAAGGATGATGTGTCTAAATCCCCTAGACTACTTTGAAAATCTTTCAGCTCTGGTTTATACCTCTACTATCTGCCCTGAGAAAAAGGCTTGTGCATTGTGCTGCCCCTAGAGCAGACCAGAGAATAAACTAACTCAGAGGATCACAATCCTTCCCCTGCTTGCCCTTGGTCAGTAGCAGATTTACTTTTTTTTTTTTATGCACAAGTAGAGCTATGCTGATTAGAGCTTTGAAGGCAGGGAGTCAAGACTCCGTCTGTTCCCCACTCTTGCCTGTCCATGCACAGAAGCTCTGAAACGCCTGCTCTCCCTCCTGCATTGTGACTAGTAATTATGGACTTATTTGCTGTTTACAACAGCAAACACTGACCAAAATGCTTGCATCATGTCCTACAATGCCAAAGAAAAAATTAGGTAAAACAATAGATTGTAGTTTTCCTTCTTTATCTTTAAAGTTGTCATCAAAGTTTCAAATATCAATAGAAAATCTCAAAATTCCTGGGGGTATTTTTAAAATCATTTTCTTAGCCCTAATCTTATTCTATCAACTCCAATATCACTGCCCAAACTACTGCACTAACACTGGGTAATGAAATTTATCAAATGATCTTACTATTATTTCTGTCATTCTATAATCATTATTTTGTTCCGTCACTTATCTCCTTCCTCAGCTTTAAACTTTCACAATACCTGCAAGTGCCACTCTGGTAAACATCCTCCAACGTATTCAAATGCAGCAGAAGAGTATTTCATTCTATTCATTCTCATTTCAAGGAAAATGTAGACTGAACACACTCTCAGACTGTGAAGTAGTATCCTAAGGTTAATGGTGCAGTCTCTTTGCTGGAGTTATTTAGAACTGGACAGGGCTGGACAGAGCACTTAAAAATACACTGTAGGACACAATCCTGGATTGACAGGAAGATGGACAAGAATGCCTGATAGACATAAGGGTTGAAAATTGCTTAGGATTCTATGACTCTTCTTTCTGTCACAAAATGCTAACTCTGTTCATATTTCATTATCTCTATTAATGATGAATCATCTGATTCTTTTCTACTCCTCAGAACAGAGGCTGAGCCAGAAGGTTTCTGAGTCGTTTTTGGAGCAGAGCAGAGTCAGGACTAAGAGAACCCCTGCTATGCCGTGTTACAATCCCTAATTCAGACATCTGTATCCCTGATTGCACCCTCAAGTCAGAAATTTAACCTTCTAAAGGGCCCATCATTATATGCAGAAAACTATGTCCAAAATTATTTGTCTGTGCAATTTACACCCACCGAACTGGAGGCCAGGATTTAAAAATCTGGTCCTTGGAATCTATCTGACCCTTGGAATCTAAATTCAAAACCCAATCCTTGCTCAGTATAATATACAGTATAATGACATGAAGGGATGACCTACTGCCTATTGTGCAGCTAACATAATCTGATCAAGTGATATAACTTGACAGTTTGAAGATTAGTAAACATTTTATTTGCTCTATATCCCTCTCTGTACGCTCCACCTTCAAATATCAATAACAGTCATGGTTCTTAACATAATACATTTTAAAGGGCCTGATTCTCATTTACAATAAGGCTATTTTACATACTCCTAATCACGTAAAGCACCCTTAAAGCAGGTGTAATAATTCACTCCCACATGACAGCCCCTTTACACACCAGAGCAGTGTGAAGTGGCCTGAGTGTAAATGAGAATCACACCCAAAAAGTTTTAGATGTGCAGCAACCTGAGGTCACAACACATGGGCCCAAACCTGCAAACTCCAACAAGCACCATGCATAACTGTTTATAGAAATGTGTTTTATAATTATTTTACTTATGAAAACAATCAAATAGAAGTGTATGAAATATTTTATCCTTAGACTTGTACTTGGGGGCCATTATTCTTCACTTAATATCAGAATGCCAAGGTGTCTCTTACACTGCACATGATTGGCAGGGACCCTCCCTCCCAGGGGAGATTTTACCCTGTGCATATGGAGTAGGGGGAATGCTGTCTTAGTGCCCCCATTTTCCCCCTTCCCTGATACTCCATGGAAGCCTGACCAGTCTGTGTGGTTCTCAAGCCACCCCTTTGATGGGATGTGTAAAATCACCCTCCAAGACGAAGTCAGAAAAGAACAGAAAGTCTGAAAATAATGCTGATGAAGAGACAAATTTTGGACCACCTGAACAAAGTTAAATAGAGAGGCCTTACATAGAAGATCATCCTATAGATGAGGAAGAATAGTATACTACCTTCCTAATGTGCAGAGCACCTGCACAGCTGGCTACAGCCACGCAACTACTATGCCCCTTTACCGTCATCCCTGACCAGCAAATCCCCATAGTCGTAGACCCACTGGCCTCATCCCTGCCCTCTCACCATGCTCTTTAGGAACAGCTGCCTCTGCAAAGTGCTCTCAATCTTACGTAGGGCATGGATTACCTCTGAACAGCCTCTCTGCAGCCTGTCTCCCCACAAAGAGCAACAGCAATGCCTGTGCTGCATCTAGAACTTTCCATATCTGCAGATAGAAGAGCTAGATGTACCAGCATCCCAGCTGGAGTGAACCACAGTGACTCCCTGGGTCTGACCTTTTTAGGAACAGCAGCTCTTCTGCATGATCATGGTATTGTTTCTCCTCCCTGTTATGGAATAAATCACTTACTTTGCTGGAAGGGCAAGGAGCTCAATAAGAAAAAAAATCCTTTACTGAGTCCAAAAATGAAAAGCACAGGGTGAGAAAAGCCTCTCCTATGTATGAATTTACAGCAGGAATACTGATATGCCCCTTGCATACACTATAAGAAAAGACTAAAATCATAGACACTGTTAAATCTACACTCACAGGAAGACTTATTTTCTTAAAAAATCTTTCAGCAAAACACTGACTACAGCACAGCTATGATGCATTATTGAATACTAGTTCTTCTACTGTAATTGATAGTGGCACTCCACTTTAATGATCTTTATCTTTAAATCTAATTAAAGAAATTAGTTGAATGTTCAATGGGGATTAGCTTAATGTGAGAAGACTATGTCAGACAAAGTGGCTTCTGACTCCTGATCACAACTTAGGGGGAAAAAAGGCTGAAAAAGTAAAGTTTTTCACATATATTCAAAACTTAATCTCTCTTGCTCTCTCTCCACACACACACACTCTCTTAAACAATGGGCTTTTTTAAATATTGATACTATGCAAAGCCATCTTGCTATATGGTACCTGTCCCTTGGTATATGCCATGAGTTCTTCCCCTGCAGGATGTTAACACCCAGGGGAACTGCAAACAAGGAAGGTCATGACCATATTACCTTTCTTTATGGCTAAATAGGAAGGGGATCCTGATTTTTTGTTTGGTTTTTGTTTTTATTTTTTGGTAAGGGTCACAGTATAGAAAAGGTTGAGAATCACTGGTGAACACTACTCCTAATCACACAGATAGAGGTCATTCCCGGGTGACATTAAACCACATGTGGAAGTCCTACAAAAATGATGCTTTTGTGGTTGTAAGACATATTTTTCACAACATATAAATTGCACTGCTTGGCAGTTATAAAACCATTATAACTCCATCATAAAGTAGCTTTATAGCCCTGTGATTATGTAAGTACTGTAAGAAGGAATATTACTTTGTTCTATAAATTGGCTTATGCTAATTTGCCTTGATTGGCTTTCCTTTACTGTATGTAACATCTGCAATATTGACATAATTTGGCATTAGACAAAAAGAAAATTCACTGATACCACACAGTGTGATAAAACTTATGTTACAGTTGCATAGTTAGACTCTCAATGCAATTAAATACTACTTTCATTTGGTTGTTCAAAATGTTTTTAAAAAAAAAATCCTATTCCAGTCATATCTTTGGTACATCAGCATTTTAAGAAACAAATCAGCATTTTTAGGTCTCTCAAAATTAGTTTGTTTAAAACTTCAATGTTTGTGTGTGTCAGGCTGAGCAGGTGTCACTATTTCCCAAGACGACCCAGACCTCAATACAGTATTTAATCTGGTATTTGTGTCTCCTAAAATAATCAAGGCAGTTGTAAGCATGCATAATAATCATAAAGGGTCCAATCATCCTGAAAAACTTGAAGTGAGAGGCTAACTCTGCAAAGTTCTCTTTGTAATGTTTTCTCTTCATTTTTTTCGGTAGGGTGTTATAGAGCACTACAAAAAAAAAAAAAAAAAAAAAAAAAAAAAAGAAACTTAGGACTGGACCCCAAATCCCACCACCACCTACCGCAGCTCTTTAAAAATGAACACGCCGTTCAATGGAGGCTAGCATTACCTACATAGCAGCCTTACTTTTCAGTGTTAGCTCTGAATCCCTGGAGTCCCGTCCTCCCAACTCCAATCCCCAGCAGCACAGTTCCAAAAGAGCCATGCTGACTGCCCCTGCCACTAATACCTCACTGAGTCACATGGAGAGTTTTTAGGTCAGAATATATTTGGCTTTATGAGCATGTGGAATATTTTGGATCACATGACAGACTCCAGGACCAACAGTCACTACTGTAGTGGAAAGACAACAAAACAGTAACTGTGAGTGCTTTTTTTGTGTAATGCTTTGCAGGGATTTCACTTGCTCATCACATGACCTTTCACAGGCAAAAAAAATTTAGTTTCCCAGTGCCTGTGTTTAATTTCTTTGCTGTATAGACTTTACAGCACTGAGCACCTGACCACTGTGGGCAAGCTAGCATATGTCTGCATTGCAGGGGTTATTTTTCCATTCCTGAATCATATGTAAAATGGCCATAATTCCAAGGGAGAAAAATCTGAGGAATGCAGTTCAGCCAAGGAAGGGACTTTTCTCATTAGCAGTGCCTTGAGCTCTTAAGATGGGGGGAGGAGAGGAAGCACAGAGTGAAAGACAGAAAGGAGAAGAGAGGATTGCCATTGCTGGGTGATTAATATGTTTGGAATATTTTTACAGGGTGAAAAAATTAAATCAAATTATTTAAAACTTGAGAAGTTCAACAAACCACAAGGCAGAATTTCTATTTGTCTTTTCTGTCATTCCCTTATCTTCAAACACCGAGCTTGCTCTGTAGCATCAGAAAGCAAACATTCAGTAAAGAGAGAGGCTGCTGGGTGGGGGGAGCATCCTGGTTGCTTTAGTACACTTATATGCAAATGAGTGCTGAAGGCATGATGTTACTAGGAACTGAACTGAATCCATGCTTTTTCTTAGTGAGAGAAAGTATTTTTTCTATTCCATCTCCTAACTCTGCATTGTAAGAATCTCAAAATAATCAACAAAAATTGTTTATTTCAATTAAAATATTTATAAGGCATCTAAGCAACATACTAAAAGGCAGTGCACAACATCAACACCAAAATAAACAAATCACAGACCAAAACCAAATGGTCTAGAACAAATTCAAACCATAGTGGTGTCAAGTAAGCCCACCTCTCCTGATGAAAGGGATCGATTCTCAATTAACACAAATAAGAAGGATGGAAAGGTGACAGCAAAAAATAAAAACCTCAAGAGAACAGAGAAAATATAAGGGAATGAAAACAGAGAGTAGCTCTTTCAGCTCATGGTTTGGTGCTTGTGACATCATTGATTCATTCTCGGTGAACAAAAATACGGAGTCTAATTTTCTGGACCCCAAAGAGGCGGCAACGACCTCTTAAGTACAGTGCAAGTGATATTTGTATGCTAGGACTATGTTTACTTAATCTCCTGAAGGCTTACTAGCAAATTTTAAATATTTATCAAAGATACATTTAAGAATTAAGCTTCTCACATAATCACCTCCATCCCTTCCCCACACAGCCCCTATGAATGGTACAGCCCCTGCTGAGTTCAGGGAGGCAGCCAAGGTAGGGGTGTCATACAAGTCTTTCTGAAAGACCAACTTCTGTAGTGTTGCTTCAAGTGAATCAATGGGATTTTTATATAAAATTGCCATCATTGTTCTCCTTCCCCTAACTTCAGTCTGCATGTCTCTCTCACCTTATCGTCTCTTGAATATTCAACAAGCACGTAGTACATGACGGGCAATCACATAAATAATCCTCAAACAACATTAAGTAATGGGCAGGTTAATGCACCTGCTCTTCTGCTTTCAGACCCTAGCAACCACTGCTGAAATCTCTGTTCAGTTTCAAGTGAAAATAAATTTGACGTGTTCATCTTAATACCTACTGCGCACAAAACCATCATACAACTTTATTCCTCAACAGGAGCCCAGAGCTTGAACAACAAAGGTATGCTGCATTTCTTTCCTGACTCTAATACACCAATCATCTTCCTTGTCAGTTACACTAGAAAGTAACTTTAGTCAATCTTTTCAAGAGCACAACATTTACACAACACATACAAAGAAAATAAGATATCCTTGGACAAAACTGAAACCTAGGAAATTCCTTGGGAATTTCATTATGATTTTCTTTAATTGAGCTTCCTGTTTTTCTTTCTTTTTTAAAAATAATTTTCAATTGTACTGTTTGAAAACATTTAAAGAAGAAAAAATAGCAACCTCAGATAATTTCATGTCCCTATTTTAAAACTATAGTTAAGGAATGCTCTTTACAGAGACAGAGAGAGAGGCATTTTTTAAAAGAGATCCATGCACAGTTGCACACTTATATTTGCATATGCATTTGTTCGTGCCGGTGCATGCAGATCAGGTAAATTCACATGCAGATAGCTCACTGGACACCCAAACTGTATTAAAAACACCCAATTTGCAAGCACCATCACAGTAGCAGAATGTATGAATATAGCTGTGCAATTGCATGTGCATGTCCTCAGATAAACCTTTCACTTTAAAAAAGTTGTCTCCCTCAAAGAGTGTTTGTGTGCTACAGATTTGATAAATACTATATTCACCTAAATTAGTAAAATCATTTAAGAGAAAAATCCCATTTATCTCCACACCCTACACATAGTAATACAAATTCCATTCACTTTTCAACAAATTCCTGGTAACACTTTCTGGCGCACCTTTATCAGATGGCATGCTCCCACAGACATCAACCACATAACTCATTCTGTGCCTTTTTTAAAGTCAGCATTAAATCTTCATTCTCTAACTGTGCATTATGTTAACCTCAGAATTTCCACAGTCTGATTTTTTGGTAAGATTTTATTATTATTGCTGTATTGCTCTCAGGCAACTAGTTCCTCTATATCAAATACATGAAGAGTAAAACTTACAATAAGATAGTGTTGTAAAACTTTACAAAAGTATTTGTTGCCCATGTGAAATAGCATCAAGAGTAATTCCAGGAACTACAGGAAACCAAGGGCCAGATGATGCCCGGCTGCTGCACAGCTGTATGAGGGGCTAGAAATCTTTTACTAGTTTCACTCCCGAAGCAAGTCACAGCTGCAGTCCCATAGTGTTTCAGAATATAGGGACTGCTTCCTCCTACTGCCCCTGGAGCACGGGCTAACCCGAAGGGAATTGTGGGATTTCTGCATCCAACAGCCATAGCTATGCCCCTCTCACACAGGTCAGTGAACAGATGGATGCTGAGGCAGATGCACAATATTTATTTATTCAATAAACTAATTTTATACTCAAGCGCTCTCTCAAGACACACACACAAAAAATCTAACCCAGCCAATATAACGGAAGTGTCTGCTTTCTTACTCATGCTGATAAAGTGCTGAAAATGTAATGTCCTATTCTGTGCCTTTTTTGTTGCCTACTATCTGTTGTTTCCATATAAGTAAATGGCCCCATGGTGCTTGTGGATCTCAACCGTCCATGAGAAGTAATGGCCACTCCGGTCAGTCTTTTTATACCACCCCAGGCCATACCTCCACTAGGGAAAAGATGCAGTGTAGCACAAAAAGATCATGGTCACAGATCTTTAGAACTAAGCTCTTCCTTTCTATGTGTTTGTACCAAAAGGGAAGCAGTATCTGGCCCAAAATGATCATTCAATATGAAGGCAAAATAGCAGTGACTGTCCATCCTCAGATTTGATTTCTATATACAAATCCATGTTTAAACAACGTGGTATTCTTGCCTATGAGTGTGATAAATCACACAAAGAGTGCACGCCAATTGACGGATATAAAGCCCCAGATTCTCATCTGATGTAAATCCGAGTATTTTCTTGGAAGTAAATGGTGCTATAGCAGCTAAGAATCTGTCCCTAATTCTATAATAATGTATCATGACTGTATCCTTTTCCTTCTTTTTTGAGTGGTGGTAGTAGTCAGCCTTCTGACACCTTTCCACATGTTGTCATCATTTTCCTACAGTACACAGCAATAAGCTACAGGCAAACAGCTAGAAACATCTATACATATACATGAGCTTCAGGACTTGAGCCAAAGTCTACTGAAGTCAATGGGAGTCTTTCCATTGACTTTAATGGGCTTTGGATCAGCCCTTCAATTTTAGTTATTTAATTTTACTGTTCAGCCTGCATTTTGTTAAATTATCACAAGCAGCAATCAGATAAACATAAGCTTTTACAACATTTTATCTTTTCTCTTCTCCCCAAGATACTACTGTCCTACCTGATCTCTCAACTGGTGGACAGAAGTCTGAAGGTTCAGGATCTGGTTGAAGAGAGGGCTCTGCAGCACTGATTTTAGCAAGCTCAACTTCTCCTCATTTGCTAAGTCACCTCGTTCCCGCAGTTTCGCCTGCAGGCGCTCCACTGCCTGCAGGGCCCGATGTGTATCTGCAGTGATATTCATTACCAGTCACCTGTAGCTTACAAAAGCTCACATGCAGCTAGCAAAGACTATATAAACAACATCACTTTCCCACCAGCTAAAATTAGAGATGGGTGATATTTTACAAATTTTTAACATTAAGTGAAAAATATTGAACATTAAAAAACAATTTAAAAAAAGACCAATTCTGCCCTCAATTATGTGGGTACAATTCCCATGGACATCAATGGAAGGGCAGAAGCCAATAGTAGCGGCACGTGTCCATGCAGAATTGGGTCCTATATGTGAAAAATTGTTCATGTAAACTCAGGTGCAGGAATCACAGCTTGTGAGCTTTCAATTGACGGTTGTAATACAAACACCCTTAAGTAGAGATATTGTGAATTTTTTTGTTTTAATTTTCACAAAAGATGTACATGATTTTCCATCTAGCTCTATTATTAAATATGAAAAAGAAACAGACAATGCTAATAAATAGCTCATCAGGAATAATGCACACGATGTGCATTTCAAAATACATGCATGAACACAAGAATCCAAACATCTTCAGACATTTCTATGTATAGTAGCTATGTTTGACACTATGTAGCTCAATTATCTTATACAGTAATGTCTTAAGTTCACATCTATCATATAAACCTAGTTTGGCCACAAACATATAGTGGTAACATAAAACCTCACCTATTGCTTCCAGCATGTTTTCCACTGCTCACTTTCTATCCCAAAATTGCAAATGGCAGCTAATATACTTCCCTAAAAATAACAGAAGTAGAAAAAAAGTGATCACATTAAGAGAATTAAGAATCAAATCTTAAAACACTGAAGTTCTTGAAAAACAATCAACACAACCACTCTTTAAACAATTAAAATAAGCTAGCAGCTGATTATATTCCAAAAGTCACTTTTGAACCTGAAAACTAAGAATGGAAAGTATTAGAGGGGTAGCCATGTTAGTCTGGATCTGTAAAAAACGACAAAGAGTCCTGTGGCACCTTATAGACTAACAGACGTTTTGGAGCATAAGCTTTCATGGGTGAATACTCACTTCATCAGATGCATGTAGTGCAAATTTCCAGAGGCAGGTATAAAATGATTTTTAGTATTATTCATAACGTTTCATAATTTCCATAACAATGATGTGCTAGGTGTAGTGTACTATTTTAACCAGAAGCTGTAAATTTAGTTTCCAAATGACGCTGTACAAAACTTGAGGGCTTTGTTTGCATGAGCACATGTGACATACTTCCTGCAATATCAATTTCCACATGTTACATGCACAATTTGTGTTTTGGAGTTTTGAGTTCCAACTGTCAGAATCCATGGTTTTGCATCAAAACAAAGCAAATCTATGAGATTCAAAGGAATATGTGCAATCAGTATCTTCATTTATTATTTACACAGCATCAAAAATCTGATAGCACTTCATAGTTAAGAGGTTGCAATTTAAACCAACAATGTACAAATAAAGGATGGAAGATAGGATAGAACAAAAAAACCCCAAAGGGATGAAAAGATAAAGACTAGTATGTATCTTATTAGCTCCATGATATTTTTGTGTTGCTTATACTGAATACATGCTGGTGTAAAGGTCTTTATCAGCACAACTTTGAGATGTCTCAATTACTCATGAGTAGTGAAGCCACATGTAAGTTATGCATGTCATCCAAAATTACTTCCATTAAAACCTTTATACAACAATATACCAGCATGTATTTTGTATGTGTGATATATTTTACAGACTATTTTACAAATGTTTTAGAAAGATTTAAAAATTATTATTGGGTCTATTTTTTTTAAATCCATCCACCTGAAAAGTCAGGAGTTTCACTTACCATGAAGTAAACTGTACAAGATCTCAAAAGGAGCCACACACAAAATTCATAAAATTACCTTACATAGATTTTTTTTAAAAAATGGAAAAGCTATGTTTAAAATGTAATACCTTGCAGCCCTGCAGGACTAAAATAGAATAACTCCCATCTCAAGCTCTGCAGTACCACGAGACATCGGATTTTAAATCCATCACTGGTCCAGGATTGAATTTTGCCATCTTGGCTCTCAGACAGATGCAATTTTATTTGCAGCAGAGATTTGAGTGGAGAGGGGTGAGGAATTCCATATGTGGAGGAAACATTTCTTTGATATTTTCATTTAATTAAGAAAATGGTGCCTTTCTGAAGTTGCTCAAAAGTCTGGAGCATTTGGGTGCTGGGAAGATGGATTAGTGGGCTGAGTGCAGGCAAGTGCATGATAAAATGTATCTATCACGTGGCTATTACCTTCACATCTGTAACAATATTATGTTCCTATGTAATATATATGCAACATATTGCATCCTAACTTAAATCTGGTTAACACATCAAAGTGCAAAGAACTGTGGTCTATAAGTAAGTGTATTGTCAAGGAGACCAGGGAGGTGGGAGACATGGTAGAACTGGTCATTTAAGAATTCTGTGTGGTGGGGCACAGATGAAGGCATGTGGACAGGAATAGGAGAACAACCCCAGAGGGCAATTAATCATGCAGTTTGGGAAGAATGTAAGCGGAATGCCTCCCTACACAGAAACTGAGAAAATATCTACCTGCCCAGATTCATTTGAACAAGTCATGAACAATGAAGAATGGCTGATAAACATGGACTGTGTTTTGAGTTAGTAGAGAAACCCAAAATCTAGTGGGTTTAAATACAGTTTGTGTGCAAACATCTCTTTAGTTCCAACAAGTCTGAATATTTCACACCATTTTATTTTTGGATGCTTTCACTGATTCACAGTTAGAACTGTCTTTTTCATGGCAATTCATCACTTCAGATCAATCTTGGAATTCAGATTCTCCAAGTGACTGAATGAAAAGTAACCTTATCACATGACACACACTACACCGACACACAGAGCAGTAACAGACACTACAACTTCTAATGAATTTGTTCTCTCATTTCATCTGGCATAGCTGATGCCCACACATGCCTATCAAATCTCAAGAAGTCTAAAACTGAAGGAGGCTATGATTTCGCTAGATCATAATATTGCATATAACTATATTTTATAAGCGAGTGGATAGATGAGGTGGTTTTACATATTGAAGAGGGATTGGCTTCCCTAAATTAGTCTGTCCAGTTACCTTTCTTGCCAGATACGCAAATACCTAAATTTATCAAATCAAATCCTTTATTCAAAACCCATATTTGGGCTTAGAGAGGTTTCTGTAATTTGATGGACGAGTCTGCAGTTCTCTCGCCATTGTAATCCATTCATACCAATTACGTTTCCTTCAAGTCCTGCCAAGCCCCATTTTGAAAACAAACAGGGAGTAAGTCCCCATTCCCCATCTGCAGCCAAAGAGCACATAGCATAGCTCAGGAGGGACATGAAAAGGTGTTCACAATCCTAAAGCTGCTGTGCACTAGAACAGTCCATGAAAATGTAAGGTTGCTCAGAATGACTCGTTGCCAGGAGCTGTTATATCAGCTCTCCAGCAGCAATAAATCCTGCCAAAATTGGGGTGACCCTCCTGTGAGTGAATTCTCTTCCATATAGAACAAAAAGTATTGATGAGTGAGAGGTGGAGGAACTGGTATGGGAGCAGTCCTGTAATTTTACATGTTGAAGGATGAGTATGTTAATGGGTTAGAAGCAGATTGTTCTTTATAGATGTATTGATATGTGAAGCTGATACACACAAGATGAGAAGCTTGTCTGGGTTTTATTTATTAGGGGAGAGGGAGGGGTGATAGCTTCTCAATCATAATGGCTTTCACTACGATGCCTTGGCCTAGCTCTGTATTTAACCATATAAACACCATGAGCAGTTACAACAAAAGTTCTTGGCTCATTTAAAAAAAAAAAAAAAAGGCAGCTTTTATTTTAACAGCTTCCTTGTATTTTACTCCCTGCTCATTGGGACAAATTCTACCTTCAGATATGGTGGCATAGCTGAATTTACACCTGTACATCTGAGGGCAGGATTCAGTGTATTGTTTGTATTACACTCTTAGAAGACTGAAAATAAGGTGCATTTTCTTTTTGATCTTCTCATTTTCAATATGGCTACTCTGATTAGTTATTTGTATTAAAGTAGCACCTAGAGGCCCCAATCCAGCTTTTTTACAGAGATATCTGATTAAAACCCAGTCCATGCCCCAAAGAGTTTACTATCTTAACTTGACGTTGATTCTACTACTCTGTTTCTACTAGAGCTGAAGTCACCATTTCTAACAACCATTCTATGCGCTGGCTTCATCAGTACCGTACTGCCTATGCTAATAAGCACAACTATAGCAATGTTAATTGGTCACCTCTCATTCCTGACTGCCCCCGGGACACCTTACCCTGACTGCCCCCCCGCACCCCATCCACCCACCCACCCCCGTTCCTGACTGCCCCCCTGGGAACCCCTGCCCCATTCAACCCCCATTCCCCACCCTCTGACCGCCCTGACCATCACCCCGAACTCCCCTGCCCTCTATCCAACTCCCCCGCTCCCTGCCCCCTTACCGCGCTGCCTGGAGCACCAGTGACTGGCAGTGCTACAGCCGCGCCACCTAGAGCAGCAGGACAGGCAGCTGCGCCGCCTGGCTGGAGCCTGCCACCGCCACCGTGCAGCACAGAGCACTGGGTCAGGCTGCGACTCTGCAGCTGCGCTGCCTGGCAAGAGCTCACAGCTCCACCGCCCAGAGCATTACGCCGGCGGCGAGTGAGCTGAGGCTGCGGGAGAGGGGGAACAGCAGGGGAGGGGCCGGGGGCTAGCCTCCTGGGGCAGGAGCTCAGGGGCCTGGCAGGAGGGTCTCGCGGTCCATAGTTTGCCCACCTCTGGTCCAGATTCCCTCAATAACTGGAAAGAGAAGTAAAACTGCCCTCTGTTATCATTGTACAAGCCAATAAAAAGTGAACTGGACATTTAAAATTGATGTTATAATTTAAGCAATGATTTAATAATCATTAAGTTATCCTTTAAGCAGTAGAGGCAATGATAATCATCATGATTATTTAAATATGAGGTTAAATTCACACCAGGATTTATGATGACACAGGCTACAGGGAGGACAAGGAGGTGGCAAAAGTGGTAGCATCTTTTCCCTTCTGCTGGGGAAAGTCAACAGGGGACCAAAACAGCAACAAAATGTAGGTGATACTGACTAGAAAGAGGCTCAGTGAGGGCAGATTCAGTGCCTCCCATCCACCAATCTCCTAGAGATAGAGGTTAAAGCTGGTCCCCCTAGAACAATCTCAATGGGAGGCAGCAGCAGCAATGCACTTGCTCTCCTCTGGGTTTTATCCGCCTTTGTTGGAGCAGAATGTAAGTTACACCACCTTATTTCAACTTTAGGGCCAATTCTGCAGCGCAATTGGCAAGAAGTGTTCAGCATGTTGCATCTTTGAACCCTTAGTGCCTGATCTTGCACCACTGACAGGGAACAGGAGTAGGGCCTTCTTGAATCTAGCCGTGAGCTTTATGTTGACAGTACCCCGTTAACTACAGCAGTGAAATCATTTAACTCAACCGTCAAAAGCTTCACCAAAAAGAAAAACTGGCCCACATCTAATGAGTTCTTTTATCATATAATTTCCAAGAGAGCGCTTCATCCTGCTTCATTGATTGGTACTCCATCTAGTATTTCACAAATCCTTTCTAAGATAAATACCTTGGAAACTAATGCTTATAGCGCTGGATTAGCAAACATGCAATGTCAAAAATAGAAAGCACCATAATAGGCTTTATCCTACAGCCATTACTGTACTGGTAGCGTTTTCAGAATACAACAGAAATGCCTATATTGAGACTGATATCCAGGCCCAAATGTTGGCTATAAGGCTTAGAGACTAAACAGAAATCTGCTTCAATTAAACAAAAAGAATATTCAGGACACACATTTTATATACACACTAAGGCCAACATTTTAAAATGTTCGATCTACATTTACGCTTGAATTTGGCCTGCTTAGTATGTCTTTTTTCCAACCTTGTCCTGTCTCCCCCCGCCCCCCATTGTCTGGCTGCCACTCAGATGCCATCGTGTTGTCGTCAGTGGCACTGAGTACAAACTGCAACCCACACGTAGGGGATGCTACTATCTACTGCCAGGTCTCCCTGCCACTACAGCTTGCAATCCTCAAAGGTAAACTTGTTATCACCTAGCCTCACTGCCACCACTGGCTGCAACCCCGAGGGGGAGGCGAACATTGAACTCTGGGCTCCCACATGGCATACAAATGTTGTTTTGCTTTGATCATGTTATTCTGTTTCTAAGGTATGTAGGTAGGTTAATTTGGGCACAGGATAAAGAAAAAACCACTTTTCCGACAGAACCCTGCTATATTCTTACTTTCACCTCCATGGAGAATCATGGCTATGCTACTGCCTGAAGTGCTTTCCTAGGAGTGCCTACAAAAGTTGAGTGAAACAGACAAGAATTGCATGGACTGTATCATTTTCACTGTGCTCAGTAAATGCTATGCACAAATCACAACCTTCTGCTGGTGGTGCTTGGAGAGGCTGGGAATGGGAATGGCTAAATGGGGAGGCACAGAGACAAGGAGGTAAGAAGAAACACAGGAGCGATATACAGAGTTTTACTGACAGGACATCCATGTTCCAGACTGAGATTAACCACATGTTCCCTCAGCCAGTAGAGTCTAGAGCACACCCTTCTGTATGATGGGAGGAGGACTGATTTAATACAAGCAAAGGCAATTTGCACTGAGGATTTAATATAAGCAAAAGCAATTTGCACTTTTCTACACAGTTCATGAACCAAGCAAATTTCCCTTGACTAAAAAGTATGTAACTGACAGGCCCAAGAAGCCTGAAATCTAAATGTTAAAAGTTACCCCAATAAAAGAGGATTTTGAGACCCTTAAAGTAAAAATGCAATTAAGTATTTAAAAAACAGACAGTTCCCAAACCACTGTAGGTCATATTAAGACTGTAAATAATTCAGTATGAAAAGCTTTATTCCCAATCTCTGCAAATTTAGTATAATTTTGTATGAACCAAGATGAAAAAAGATGCACAAAATAAAATATAATACATTGAACATATATTAATTATGACAGCAAATAAAAATATTTTTACTTTAGCTAAAAGTCATATTAAATATTTTTGAGGGATGGATGAAAAAATAATTTGAACATTTAAATTAGCTTCTAGTTTTATTTACTTTATTTTTATAAGTTTTATTTTGTTAACACTTTTGTATAAATCATATTGCTGTTTAATTGGAACTTAGCACAACACTGTATGATGAAGTTATCTATACACCTGTTCTTAATATTACAATCTGTTCTGTGATAAGACACAAGTACATTCAAGTATTCTATTTACTAACACGTAATTTTTAATTAAGTATATTTTTAGTGTGATTCAAAATTTTAAACATGTTTACGTTTTTTTTTCCTACTGACAAATGCACCTGATTCCATTTATTCTGAATTATTTTTAACTATTATTAACTGCTGGCAGCATTATAAAATGGAAATCTATTAGGAAAACTGAATTTTTCATAAGGAAGTTACGTTATATTTTGTAAACTATTTTCTTAAAATAGCATCTATATGAAATGTAAACTTGTATTACGTGGATGGAATTACTGTACATATCTGTGTCGCTTCAACCAAAGCTAACCACAATTTGTAAAACAGGGCAAGCTTTTCAACAAATATACTTTGGGAATTAGTATTTCAAATCCAAACATGTTTACACTCTTAAACATTTATAAATTGAACCATTTACTCTAGGACTCCTAAAACATCTACATATTTTACAGGATATTGAATAGTTCCCAGCACAGTAAGCAACAGTTCAAAAAAAGGTCTGTCAAAGATTCAGTGTTTTTCTTACAACTGAAGGACATAAAAATATAAAAAGTCTCCTGTACTAAAAGACTATTAAATTCAGCATATTTTTACAATGTCATATTAGAGTATGTAACAGGTTTCTTCTGACTATGCTAATATTTTCAATGGAAAGACCTGCTCCAAATAACAATGAGAATTCTACCAATTTAACACCTTAATTCTTTTTGGGACACTTATTTCTCAACTACCAGCCAAAACAGCCCCAAAGCTTCTTTCCAAGATAGTAGAGGGCAGATATTTACACATAAATGTATAGACAGATGTAGAAAAAGAACAAAATTAAATATTGCAATATGATCTCGGTAGGAGTCCCAATGAGTGAAATAAAAATATCATTGCCATGAGTATTAAATTAATGAGGTCATATTCATTAAACATGGTAGCCTGCTGTCTTCAGGTACCTCAGTAGGATGCTAGTAAAGGTCACTTAAGCAGCTGATTTATTCAACCCTTATGAATTTCACAGAAATCATAATCTATTGGGTAAGTACTGTATTTTCTGTTTTACTTTTTTGGAGCATGGATTGGATGATCCTGAAAGCCTTCAGATGGTTTTAAATCTGATGATTAAAATGTGGCCTGTGTGCGAGGAGATTTATTCTATAATAAAATATTCAAACTGGTCTATAAATTGATAAGCTGTAAAAAGTTTCATGGAACTGTGTTCTGTGGATTCCAAAGACACACAAAGCCAGAAAAAAATATATAAGGGGTATGTACTAACATTAAAGCAAAGCTTTTTCTTGTTTCCTCGTGCTGATATCAATTAGATGGCCTAGGGCAGATTTTATCCCAAAGCAGGAAGAATGTATTCAGACAAAAATCTACTCAATAGTAGGCTGGAGTGTAAGGTTCTGGGAGCATATTCATAAAAGCCAGTGACATAAGTAACTGATTAAAGGCACATTTCTCTGCTAGTGAAAAGGAAAAGCATTAGCACGGTACCAAAATGGATAATCAGCAAGGGGAAAAAATCAATGTAGGAAGACCAGAGTAGGTAGGTAGCTGTGGATGCAGGTTTTCGCTCTCTAAATAAAACTGGGATGCTGAAAGAAAAGAAATAAACTCTTCAAAAATATCTTTCTATGATATTTATTATTTATCTGACCATGTCTGGGCTATTATATAAATAAGTCATTTTCATTATATAAACTACTCTAGTATGCATTTTGTACCATTCTTCCATACAAAAATAAGCATGGCAGCTATATCATCTTAATATCAACTATCCCAGACAGCTGTAAAATAAAAATGACAGTCACACACTGGATATCTAATTCTCCAAATAAATATATTTTAACACTAAAAGAATATGTCTATACCATTAGAATTATTTCATAATTTTATTTTCTTAGGCACATTAAACTAAAACACTACAAATGGCATAGTTTTCTCTATCTTGCCTACGAAGACATCCAAGGTTTTTTTCTCTTAAGTGACTCACACTTTTTCCCAGTTTCCCCTTCACATAAATTGTTGGTTAATCAGGGAAGTTTTCAGGACACATAATATGCCAACTCAGACATTTAATGACAAATACATTAATGCTGAAGCTAAATAGGAAGTGGAAGCTCATTTTCTTATTTGTTTAATTAAACATTTAAAAACGACACTACGTTTTATCTGCTATATTGTACCCATTCTTGTTTTCAAATGCAAAGCAAAACATTATTCTAAAGTAACATTCTCCCACTTTTTCTCTCTTTTAGTTTTGATTCCCCCCACGCCAAGTTGTCCATTTGAGAAGTGAATAATATAGTAATGTAACGGGTCTTGTCCTGCTAAAAATTAAATCAATGGACATTTTGCCGCTGATTTCAATGGGAACAGGATTGGACCCTTACAGATACTACTTAGATTGTAATATCTCCAGGGCAGGGACTGTCTTTTTGTTCTGTTTGTACAGCATCTAGCACCTTGAGGTCCTGGTCCATGATTAAGGACCCCAGGTAATACAAATAAATAATAATAATATACCCTAATTAGCAATCAGTGCTTAAGCAAAACTTCATGGAAGGGGTTGCTATTCTTCTCCCTCATGTTCCTCTTACTTTATAAGAAATCCCAGCAAAACTAACATTTTATTTTCAACAGGCAGCAGGTGATATGGGGCAAACATCACTAGTGCTGTATGAGGTACTATTTTTAAAACTGGAGGGGAAATACATCACAACACCAGTTCGAAACTAATGCATCCATCTCATGAAATGTAAATAAATAGAGTGCAAACGTTACCTTTCCCTCAAAAGGTATTATAGTTTATTCCACAGCTATGTAATCAGTTTCATCTTCTCAAGTGTTTAAAAGCATATACACCTAAGTAAACATAATAAATAAAATAAAGTTATCCAGACACAAGGCCAAATTCTATCCTCTGATACCTTGCACATTTCCCACTGAGTAAACAGGACTATCTGAGGGCAGATTTTGGCCCTTGTTTGTACTCTGCTGGAAAAATGTCTAAATATGTTGATTAAAATAAATATTTTTTCAAGATCAGAATTCCTGAAATTCCAGTGAAATTGTGAACAGGGAGTCATCATGATTTCCCAACACCAAATGTAGTTTATTTATCACAAGATAGGCTACACATAGTTCTGCATTCTTATTAGTAGCTCCATCAAATTCTTCAACTTCAGCTTCCATGGAGTCTCTCAGACAAACATTCTGCCTGCAGGCACCAATCTGGGGAATAGGGGGTGGAGAAGGGTTTTCTTTTTTAGCCAAGCGGTTCAAAGACAAATAATCACAAGGATTTGGGGAAGAATTTGAGCGTTCCTAGGTTCATACACTAACTACAACTCAAGGCAAAAGATTTTACAGATTCACCACACATGCAGTTCTTCTTCCCAGCAGACCTAGAGCACCTTGCAAATTCTCTACAACTTATGGTGTGGACGGAGGATGCTCCTCATAACCTGCATTCTCACCTTCTGTCTACGCCAGGCAATTAGGCGTGCAACACGTCCGCTGACACCCTTAAATTGGAGCTCAGACTTTATCATGTTGAATGGGGGGAGTGCATGGGGGAATGGAGGGAGCTGACTAACACAAGATCGTTTGCAAAATACCATATTAAAAATAGGGTTTGTGCGTGCAGAGCCCACGAGGCGAGCTGGGGGGCCCTCCGGTCAGCTCGGAGGGGTTACAAAATGCCCACGCCAGAAGCTACTTGCAATACCCAGCGGAGATGTGGCTTTTGTTTACAGCGGGATCTCTCCTGGCCCAGGCCGGCGATGGAGCAGCAGTGACCAGTATCCCTTCGCCGCCTCCAGGGACGCGCCCTTAAGAGCCGAGCCAAGTAAACATTCGCGGTAGAGCATCATTCCCCTTCTCCCCTCCCTCCCCGGCGCTTTCCGACAGCCCCGGGTCTAGCAAACGCCAGCCGGCGAGCGTGTCCTGCTGCGGCAGCCTTGCACGGCCGCTGCACGCCAGCCCCCCGCACGAAAGCTCAAGAAAGAAGCAACAGGCTCAGCCCACCACCACCAGCTGCTTCCCCTGTTCTGCGCAAGGCCTTGTGGCGCCCTCCCCTCCTCCTAGCAAAACCCAGGGGCCACAACCCCAGCCCCCTCCCCGCACAGGAAAACTTTACGGGGGGGGGACTATGGGTAAATCCCCCCTTTGCGGTGAGAGGGGAACATGCCCGAACCCCTCCCCCACACACCCCTTTACAGTGACACCGAAGGGGGCCGCCAAGGGAAGGGGAGCGGGGGGACAAAGAGACCCGGGGCCTCTCCCGAGGCGCCCACAGAACGTTCCCCGGGCGGAGCGAGCGCTACCCTCCGGGGCAGCCCCCCGGGCTGGCCGCCGCCCCCCGGCTCGCAGCTTACCCGGCTTGCTGCTCCAGGCACCCCGCAGCCGGGGGAGGGGGGGAGATGACCACTTGCAGCCCTTGTTTGCTGGCTCTGCAGACCTTCCTACCCCCCCCCGCCCCCAAGTAACGGCCCTGAGAGGAGGTGCAGGATAAACACGCAGAGGCTACCATGAAACTTAATCCTGCCCAACCATTAGACGGCGAGCCGCCCCCTCCCCCTTCCCTTTCCCTCCCAGCTACCAGACGTTCTTAAGCCGAGCCCCGCAGAAGTGGGAGTAGGAACCGGCTGCAAAGAAGGAACCATGACAACAGCAGCCAGCAACAGGAGGGGCCCCACTTGCTGCCCTCGCCGTCATTGCTCTGTGCTGCGTCTGCCCTGCCTGCTGAGGGAAGATGCAGGGGGGCCTCGGAGCTGCTCTGCTCAGGAGCACATTTGCAAAGTGGCGGCCTCCGCATTCTCATGCCACAAGCATGTCTTCTGGGGGGGAGGGAAGTGATGGCTCCTGGAACACACACACACACACACGGTACCTCACATGTGCAAGCAGTTTGTGGAGACAGCATGCAGAGCTGTGCTCATCCAGGACGCTGCGTAGTGCCGTCCCGCTGGAGGTTGCAAATTCAGGCCCCGATCCCGCAAACACACAGGATTACTCTAGTCAGTAAAGTAATGCACACGGTTTTGCGCAGGATCGGGGCGTTAGTGGCCTTTTAAAAACTCGGTCCAAGCTGGTCTGGCCCCATACGGCTTTTAAGCGTTATTCCCTATAGCCGTTTACCTAGTTCTCTTTCTTTTAAAGGGACATCAACTTGCAATCCAATCATTTTTTAGAAGTTATTTGTTGTTTCAGATATTAGACCTGGCCCCGAGCTGCCTCCTCTCCTGCCAGTTACTGTGGTTTTGCGGTCATATTTTCCTTTTTTTTTTTAAATAATGTTTTTTTCTCCCCCTTACTGTGAGAAAAGCACAAAAAATGACTGTGTGCACATGGGAACATTACAAGTGACTATACCAAATGCTATAAAATATATAAAGGAAATTGAAAAAAATAGACAAAATAGTGCCAGTGATTGTTTCCCCTACTTCCTTTGAGAAACTGTTCCACCATCAAATAGGTTTGATCACTAGTACATTTGGGCCTAATTTTGTATCTCTTATTCAGGCAACACTTTTATTAATTCAGGAAAGACTGCATAAATAACCCCTCCCTGACTTGTATGCTACAATTTTCTTTTTACTGTTTTCTAAAATTGACTGAATGGGAAGAGATTTTTCTTACAGAGGAAAAAAAATGGGGGAGGGATAGATGTATTATACTGTACAAAGTAAATAAGGGAACCAAACATCCTGCTGTTTGTTCCAGGAAAGGGATATTTTGTTCAGGGTTTGAACAGAGAAGGGTAGAAGAGAGAAAACTTCTTTAAATACATTTTTGTTATTAAGTAGGATTGTAGGGCTAAAAGAAAGGGGAGGTTTTGGGGGGATTTAAGCTTTTATTTGAATTTGAAATAATATCCAAAAAAACACAGATGGAGATTACTGTGCACCCTTCACATATATATACACAAATATCCCTAGAGTAAAATACAACAAATATGTAAGTGGAATAAGAGCAATGACAGTGCAATTTATTTTCAGCACAAAAAAGAATGCTAATGCTTTTTTTCTTATGTTTGCTGAGCATTTTGCTTCCTATCTGATGTACTTTTTTATTTAGTAACTATCAGTAGTGTCGTTATTTTCCTTTATATTGCCAAGAAATCACCTCTTGTTCCCTGTTTACTCAGGCAGCTCTGTTGTGATAGCATCCTTAGTACCAGAAAGAAGGCAGGCTTGCCCTGCTGAATATGTCATGTTGCAGTTGACTGCGGCCTGGTACTGTGTGTTGATTTGCTTGTTTTTGTTTTGATTTGGTTTACTTTGTCAAAATGTAACTGAATTGTAAACATTGCCACATTAGGTCAATAAAAGACACTATTGTGTTCTTCATCTCAAATACGGTAAAAAAACATTGTCCTTTAGCTAAATGGGGTTGTACTGGACTATATCTGAACAGAGATCCTACAAATACAGCCATGGTGTTAAACTCAAACATTTACAACCTGGAAGGTTCTATTTTGTCTCTCAGACCTTCATGTTCTGGTTTGTCCACTGTTTTTTTTTAATTAAATAGGAGGGTTATATTAGTCACAGTGACATTTCTGTACTCTACTGGGCTTCTATAAGTTCCCCAATAATTCTGAAGTTTGCACACACTTTTTTTATACCAGCCCAAAATTTAAAAAATAAATTGCAGCTTGTTTGCTTGTATAATTACTAGCTGTAAAATTAATCACATAAAATAACCTGCAGAAGAACAGAAACACAGGACCAGACTATGTGTGTTAGTGACTGCTCCATATTGCAGCAGTGAAAGAGTTGCAAAGTACCTGTGGCCAGGATGCACTGTGCATTGTGAAACAGAATGCTTCCTGGAGCTCTTTGACACCCATTATACCATCACTTATAGGATGCAGCATGCACTCCCCTCTGCAGCTACCCAGCTCCACTGATCAGTAGGTGGAATGGGGGTAGGGACACCATGTCCATAGAAAATTTGGAGTCATTTGCAGCCCAGTTGGTGCTAACTGGGAATGGTACTTGAGCTCTGGGAAGTGTAGTTGTGCTTACACAGAAATTAAGGGGTAACTACACCAAATTAAGCAGTTCCAGAAGTCTTAGGTCTCTTAGTCTCATCAGGGAAATGCCAAAATCCTTCAGACAATATTACAAATTAAATCAATGGAAGTTTGTGAGTTCAGGCATTTGGACACTTTATTTAGGAGCATAGCTGATGGGTGGAGACTTTTTTGTTTTTTTCCTATTAGGAACCCTGATCAATTCATTGCAAATGTGAGATGTGATGGTACATGCTATATTATGTTGTGTAGCAAAGTTTAGGGGTTAACAACAAGAGGTTTTTTTAAAAAAAGTTTTCAGAAGAAAGAATTAAGAAGTTGGAAAAGTGGAGGAAGCCATGCCCATGCTGGAAGGGCACACAGGTGGAATGGAGGAATCCCACCCTCAGCTAGGGCATACCTTCTAACTGATATAAAGGAGGCTGACGCTTCTTCGTACACTGATGACATCACTCCTGGGAATGTTAAAGTTGACAGAAAAACAGACTGTGGTGATAGACAGTTGGGAATGTGGTGACCATGAGAACCAGTTAGCGACCTCTGCATGCCAATTTCGAAGATGGTTGGTAGATACAGTAGTACAAGTAGAATTCATTACAATTCATTCAGTATGCTGCACCAGCTAAAGGGGGGGCACGTGACCGCCTCACATGACCCCACGTGACTCCTCATGCCCTGCATTTTCTCCTTCCCCTCCCCATGATCCATCCCACGTTACCAGGCTGGGAGGGGCTCTGTCCTCCTCCCACTGTGCTGGAGACTTCTGAACTGCAGGGCTCTCCCGGGAACCCCAGCAGTGAAAGGAGCAGAATGTGGTGCCACCGGGCAGCCCCCGCTGGCAGCTCTGCCGGCGTGGCTCTACCACCCCCAGCCCTGTCCTCCTGGGGGGCTGCTGTACAGACCCCAGACAGGAGATGCAACTGTGTAGAAGGACTGGGGGCACTACAGCCACGTTGGAGGAGCTGCCAGCGTGGGACCGCCCAGTGGCCCCACGTTCTACTCCCCCTGTGTCTATAAATATCTTTCTGGTATGGCATATGGGACTGCCTTACTTGCACCACTGGGTAAATTTTACATCGTTTTCATTGGAGGGAAATATGTGAACTACTCAGACACTGTATAATGTTTTAAATTAACTGTATCAACTCAGGAAAGTAATCCGAGTTCATTGTAAACAGCTCAATTAAGGCCTCTGGTCAATGTGCAGCTTTGGTTAAAAAAAAGAAAACATGCTGTTAGGAGGATGAGACTTTGATTGGGGGTAGATTATCCCACGTCTGCCTACTGTGGAATTCTGGTACTCTCCTCTGAAACTGCTGGTGCTGGCATCTGTTGGAGACAGGATATTGGACTGAGTGGACCACAGATATCATACAGTATGTCAATTCCTGTGATCCTAGGGGATGCAATTAGAGCTTGGTTTTTTACCTAGATCAAAGTGACTTGAAGTGCTTACTGGAAAATCATTAGTTCAGTAAGGTCAAGTTCTAGTCTGGTTTACACTCCATGACGTCCCACAAGTCAAAGACAATGAAGTCAATAGACTTACAGGAAATGTAAGGCAAACCAGAATTAGGCCCACAAAGTAATTATCCATGTTAGGTATATAACAATATCTACTGTATGACAACTTCCAAGTGTACTGTGCAATTGTAGTGGATCTATGTTTTAAAATCTTTTTAATGTGCATAATATTGGGTAAGGTACGTTCATTAACTCCTCAAGTAAAATGACATTTACAATTCATCTTTTGCCATCTCTCTTGATGTAGTCAGGTTACATATACTAAAATTCATAAAACGTACTCTCTTAGCCCTTGCTTATATTAACTTGCACTGGCATAACTACACCAATTTAAGTACACTGT